GAAAGGGAAGATTATGTCAGAAATTGACTTGAGACAGAACTAAAAGCTGGAATATTTTACAACAAATTTTAAACGAACTAAGAAAAATCCAATTAAATACTGACCTGATATAACATGGCTTTAAATGCCAAATGTCTTAACCTCATGGTTAAGATTTCCCCTGCTCTGCCAAAAAATAATCCCTGGAAAACAAACAAACAAAAATCTACATTTACTCTTAAATCTTTTTTTCTATTTCTTTGAAACATTTAATTGTTATATTTTAAAATCAAATAGAGAGGATAACGTCAAAAAGTAATTATGCTCTGGCTTGTTTAATTTATTAAAAGCTTACCTGCATGAAATAACTGACAAAGCAAATAGCACCCAAAATGACAAATATCATGGAATAAATTTCTGCATCATGCTTTAATGTAGTTTTATCATTATTTTCAAACATCTGAAAAGGAATAGATTTTTTTTTCATCAGTTGTTTGGAGGAAAATATATAAAAAAACAGAAAAAACTAAAATGTCTATACATCAGGATTTTTGGAATACATTTCAACATAAGAATAAAGCCACATACACATTTCTGGAGGAAAAAAGTGTACATTCTATCATCATCGATTCATTCCACATGATAAAAATAATTTGCTTTTAATTCTCTTACTTAAACTATATAAATATGGGATCAGACAATTGAGTCCTCTATCTGCTATTATCACAGTATATTTTCAAAGAAACCACTAGTTTGTTTGAATTATTATTCCTAATAATTTTGATAACTCGGGTTCTTAGTATTCTTCTGCTTAGAGTGGTACCTGTAATGTGAGACCTTTGTCTATGCCCCTAGAAATCGTTCCTGAAATTAGTGATTATATATACATAGACATTGATATTGACAAAGTGTAGCTGTGTGAATCAGAGAGACTGAAGTTCCAGGCTAGAACTTGAGTAAAGAGTGAAGATTTAACATGGATCTACTAAGATCTTTGAACCCACCAACTGTCCAGGGTCCGTTAGCACAATCCCAAACTCTTGTTATTTCCTCTCCTTGAACTGGCTGGTAATAAAAAATTGCCATTGTTCCAAGTAGTTGAAAGGAGAGGAGTTGTATTTGTCTATTTTATTGCTTCAGTGCTTTCGAATGCTGATACAACATGGAGTCAAAATTAGAAAACAAAGCAATTTCTTTACTGATCGCCCAGTCAACAAGGCCCAGCTAAACACTTCACAATAGATGCTGGCTTATCTGCTAAGAACATTAGTTAACCTTCCTATCATGAACCCCACACTAAGGATGATCCACTAACACTCCCAATTTCCCCCTTGTGGATCAGAGTGCAACAAGCTTGCTGTCTCAGATCATACTTTCTTTAAATTGTTAAAAATTAGCAAATCAGTTTTACTTACCGTTACAATTTTTGCAAAGATGATGGAAAATATTGGATGAACAGTTCCATTTAGAATAGAAGCCAATGTACCCAGAACCACAAGAGGCCATTCAGACTTGTTTAACTTAAAAATTTTTAACAGAGAAACTTCAGGAAGACTTGCCTAAAAAATAAAATACATTGGTTAAAAATGCCAGTTTGCAAGCATAATGGAACCGGCGGAAGTTAGCCAATCGCAAACAGGACTATAATGTAAAATATCAAATATAACAGATAGCATGATAGAAAGTATAATTTTTCTTAGAAAAAATTCACTGCCCATATTACTAATGATGACGCTAAAGCATAAACTAAAGGAACCTTGCCCAGAAGTGACTATTTATGCAATATCACCTTTTGGCATTTCATTCAGTTGCTATCATTAAAAAAGCACAAATTAGCTCACACGTCTGATAGCTAAGAATCACAGGAAAAAAATTAGGCATAGTTTTCTTTACTCTTGTTAAACTTGAAATACTCTAGGATGCTCTAGGATAGGGCAAAATCTAGGTAGGAGCTAAGCAGGGTAAGTGCAGAAGGTAAAAGTTTTGCTAGGATTTTAAGCTGGAAAGTTTTCCAATTTCATAATTTATTTACAAAAGCATTTTCCTAATGCCTTGGCTAACAGCTTATTTGAGGGTTCCTATTTACAAGTAAAATCCTGCAATATCTGAGCATATTTTTTAAACTCACCGACCCTTCAGATTCTGCATATTTACTAGAGGAATGATACCAGTTCCTATCTTATAAGATTGTTTCTAGAATTAAGCTTCATTCAGTACATTTGCAACTCTGTGTATTTGCAAACCATAAGTACTCAATAACTGTTAGCAGCCATTGCTTTGCTGGTGTTATTAGAGAAGATTTTATTACACAAAATCCCAAGTTTTATACAGAGAAAGCACAATGCAAGGAGGCATTCTGGTATCTGCCAGCCCTTTCTCGGACACGTGGAGATGACAAGGGTGGTCCCAGTGGTCAGAGGGTAAATAATATCATAACAATCTCACCTTGCTCTTGTTTGGGATATATAGTGGATTTATTTCAGAAACTTCAAAAATCTTGTGAATACATTTGTGGTGAGTAATTATTTTAAGTAGAAAAGTAGACAGTGAGCTATTTGGTATTTCATACCAAAACTTCCTCATAAAGTAATGACATTTATGAACGCAGTAACCAGAGAATTCCTCGTGAAGACTGTAAAGTAGTTTATAATTCTTGTTCTAATCTTAGTCTGATTCCTATAATGCAAACTGTGTGGTTTGGACAATAGAACTTTTAAAATTCTAAAGCCTTGAAAGTTTGTTTTCAGGATGGCTCAGACCATAATGATATTGGGTTACTTAGTAACTTGACTGTATCCATCATATTTTCTGCTGCAGTTTTCTGAAGCTCGTCATCATAAAAGGCATCACCTTTCAGTTAGGTCACTGTCCAAAAAAGTTGTATAACAACTCTTTTTCAAGCACTGAGCATGGTGCTAAGTGCTTTACAAAATTACCTTATCTTGTGACAAAACTAAGGCTTAGCATGTCCTAGGACACCACTACATTACATAGCCAGAAAATGTATGAGCTATCTTGCTTCTATTGGATAATCTATATTACACAGATCATTTAAAGATGTCTTTCGCCTCTGGGAAAATACACAATAACAGATTAAAATATGGTATCATTTAAATAGTATTATCAAGATAAGAAAATAATATAATAAAGACAAAACAAAAAATTTCAATAAAATGATGAAATATGCTGTACTATCTAAATACGTTACAGGTTATACTTGATTTAAGATAATCTGATATAAAAATATGAAATTCTAGACATTTTGCAAAGAGATACAAAAGAGTTTTAAAAAGTTAAAAAATGACCTTTCCTAAAGAATTTGAAATTTCCTCTGATGCATTTTAGAGTTTTATTGAGTGATACTTTTCATATAACAAACAGCACATATATAAACTGTACAATTTGATAAGTTTATACACAACTATACGCCTGTAAAAACATCATCATCATCAAGATAACGAACATATTTATTACTCCTGCAAGTTTTCTCCTGCTTTTTATAATCCCTCTCCCACACCTCTCAGTTGCCAGTCTTCTTCCTCCCCTCCTCCTGCAATTACTGATACGTTTTCTGTCAATATGGATGAATTTGTATCTAGATTTTTTATATAAATGAAATCATACTTTATGTACTCATTTTCATCTAACTTCTTTTGCTCAACATAATTATTGTGAGATTTATCCATGCCGTTGCATGAATCAGCATTTTGTCCCTTTTTATTGCCAAATAGTATTCCATTGTATGACTATATCACAATTTATTTATCCACTCACCTGTGGAGTGGATTAATTTGGGTTTTTTCCACATTTGGGCTATTACACATAAAGCTGCTGTGAACATTCATATACAAGACTTCTCTTTCATTTCTCTTGGGTAAATATTTAGAAATGAAATGGCTGGAATATATACTAGGTGTACATTTAACTTTCTAAGAAACTAACAAATTATTTTCCAAAGTAGTTTTAGCATTTATATTTCCACCAGATTTTCTTTTGCATTTCTTTAATGACTAAGGATGTGGGACATCCTTTTGTGGGCTTATTTCCAATCTGCTCATCTTCTTTAATAAAATGCTTATTCAAATATTTTGCCTATTTTTCAATTGAGTTGTTTGTATTCTTATTATTGTGCTTTGGGAGTTCTTTATATCTTCTGGATACAAGCCCTTTATCAGACATGTGACTTACAAATATTTTCTACCAGTTTATGGCCTATCCTTTTCATTTTTTTAAAAGTGCTTTTTGTAAATAATAAAGTTGTTGATTTTGGTAATGTCTGATTTATCAATTTTTTTTCTTTTATGAATTATGCTTTTGATGTTACATCTAGAAATCTTTGCTTAACTCAAAAGATTTTCTATTGGATTTTTGTATAGGAGTTTTATAATTTTAGGTTTTACAGTAAAGTTTGTAATTCATCTCGAGTCAATTTTCATCTGTGGTTTGAGGTATGGATTGAGGTTGATTATTTTGTCTATAGATAGCTAATTGATCCAGCATCATTTTTTGAAAAAAGTATACATTCTTGATTTAATTGCCTTTGCAATTTTGTTGAAATGCAATTGACATATTTGTGTGGATCTATTTCTCAACTCTATTCTGTTTCATTGATCTATTTTTATGACAATAAAATGTTTTGATTACTATGGTTTTATAGTAATCGAAATAGGAATCAGTAATTAGCTTTATAGTAATTGAAATATAATTGAAATCGGGTAGCATAAATCCTCCAATTTTGTTCTTCTTTAATTTTGACTATTTTGGCTTTTTGCATGGCCATATGAATTTAGAATCAGCTTGTCAGATTCTACAAAAAAAGCCCACTGAGCTGTTGGTTGGGATTGCTTTGAATCAATAGATCAATTTGGGGAGAATTGACATCTTAACAATATTGAATCTTCAGATTCACTCACATGGTATCTCTTAATTTATCTAGTCTCTTTTAAAAATTTTTCTCAGGAATATTTTATAGATTTCAGTGTGTGGGTCTTATAATCTTTTACTAAATTTGTCTCCAAGTATTTAATATTTTTGAACTATTATATATGACATTATTTTTTAAATTTCAACCTTCCATTTTTCATTTTCAATATATAGATTGGATTTGATTTTAGTATTCTTATGTGTTTTACAACCTTGCTGAACTCCATGATTACTTTTAGTACCTTTTTTGGTGGATTCCGTAGGATTGTTTGCGAAGATGATCATGCCATCTGTGAATAAAGAGTCTTACATCTTCCTTTCCTCTCTGGATGCAGTTTACTTTCTCACCTTATTACACAGGCTGGAACTTCCAGTAAAATGTTGAATAGAAGTGGTGAGAGCATACATTCTTGCCTTGTTCCTGATCTTAGTCTTTCACCATTTAGTATGATGTTAGCTGCAGGTTTTTTGTATTTGCTCTTTATCAGGTTGAGGAGATTTCTTTCAATCCCTCGTTTGTTGAGAGTTTTCAAGAATGGATGGTATATTTTGCCTAATAGTCTTCTGCGTTGATTGAGATGATCAGTTTTTCCTTTTTAGTCTTTTTTAATATGGGAAATTATGTTAATTTTGGAATATTAAACAAATCTTGCATTTCTTAGAAAAATTCTACCTGGTTATCACATATTATTCTTTTATATATTGTTGGATTAGATTTGTTAAATTTTATTAAGAATTTTTCCATCTATGTTCATGGGGGAATATTAGTCTATAATTTTCTTTTCTTATAATGTCTAATTCTGATATCAAAGTAATAATGTTATTCTCATAGAATGAGGACTGTCTCCTTTCCAATTTTCTGTTTGATAGAATTTACCAGTAAAATCACATGGGCCTAGAGTTTTCTTTATGGAAAAGGTTTTAACTACAAATTCAATTTCTTTTTAATAATATAAGATTATTCAAGCTGTCAATTTATTCTTGAGTGGGCTTTGGTAGTTTGTGTTCTTCAAAAAATTTGTCCATTTCATTTGAGTTGTAGGATTTTTTTGCATAAATGTTTTCATAAGATTATTTTATTATTCTTTTAACATATGTAGAATCTGTAGTGATGTGAGCTCTTTCATTCTTCATGTTGTTAATCTGTGTCTTCTCTTTTTTCTTGCTCAGTAAGTTCAGAGGTTTTCAATACCGATGTTCTCCATGAACCAGCTTTGGAATTCATTGTTTTTTTTTTTCTTTATCATTATTTTCTTCCTTCCAGTTTCTTAAGGTGGAAACTTAGTCTATTACTTTGAGATTTTGGTGTGTAGTGGTATAAATTTCTTTCTCAGTACCACTTTAAGCTTCATCCCACATATTTTGATATGTTCAGTTTACAATTTCATTCAGTTCAAAATACTTTTGAATTTTTCTTTTGATTTTTTTCTTTGATCTGTGCATTTAGAAGTGAGTTATGTAGTTTCTAAATATTTTAAGGTTTCCCAGACCACTTTCTGTTCTTGATTTCTAATTTAATTCTATTTTGGTCAAGTAATATACTTCATGTTACTTGAATTTTTTAAGTTTATTAGGACTTGTGTCCCAAAAAAATGGCCACTGAGTTGGTCCTTGGTTTGTTTCAGTTTTTGATTGTAAGATGGTGTCTATGTTTCTACCACGTCAGGCTCACAACTTTGTATAAACTGTAGTTCGAGCCACTGGTGCCAGGGTTTTCAGCCTCCTTTACAAAGTAGGTCTGTGACCATTGTTCAGCTTATCGCTTTGTGCTTTTACTGTAGTTCTGTTCTGAAGAGATACTTACCTTTTTTTGGAGGCTGAATACATTTTATTGTTTTTTTTCTTTTTTATGTTTTATCCATCATTTCTTTGTGTGTGGAGAACAGTGGTTGTATCAGAAACTTACCCCTTGGTCCAGAAGTCTAGAAATTGCTTTTCAATTTTCTGATTTTTACCTTTCTTAGGTTTTAAAATCTACTTTATAAATCTAGTGAATTTTCAGACTTGGAGGCAGATTTCTATTGTGTTTTCAGCAATTGCTGTGGCAGGTCCATCAGATACTAATAGACGTTTTACATCTATTTTCTACATTCCTGCCTAGCATCTCAGTATTGTACTATGTTCTTATTCTCAGGGCTGAGATACAGGGGCAAGGATGAGGGATTTCAAGGTACGTGAGGTTACAATTGAAAAGCAGCAGCAGGGGGCCAGCAAAGCTCAGCTGGGGTAGGGAGAGGACTGGGGCTCAGGAATGGGGAGTCTGGGAGAAGCAGGGGTTCAGGTGAGATTAAGATGCACAGGTGTTTATGAAAGGGTGCTGAAGAGAAAGGTCAGAGTGTGGCTAAAGTGGGTGTCAGGGGCATGTTCAGAGAAGGGAGGCAGAATCAGAATGAGACTTGAGGTACAGGTGGAGACTGAAGAGGGCGATAAGCTGGAAGGAGGGTTAAGGCAGGTGATGTGGGGCTGGGGCAGTGCCTGGGGTGGGAGGTGGAGCACAGCAGGCCTGGGAACAAGTACTCCCTGCCCAAGTGAAGGAGGCTACTTGGGCTGTGCCCTGGACTGGAGGCCTGGGCCACTGGCTGGGGCTTATGTGCAGCTGGGGAATGGCTGCATTTATGCTCTGATGTGACTTCAATTAATCTGAAGCATCACCAGTGGGTGGTCTCTCTACCACACTCACCAAGGCACTGTTTAACCGATGGTTTGCCTTATAGGAAAGAATAATGTAACATTCTCATGAGATTTTTTTACCCCAACAAAGAAGGGCCTTTGACATAAACGGTCTCATTAGACGGTCTCTTTCTTAGAGTGTCATGGTGATGCTAGAGCAAAGTTTGGGAAAGACATGTTTTGTGAACTCAGTGCTGTAGTAATAGTTTATTGTAAATAAATTCTACATTTAAGGATTAAATACAAATTGGAGAATATGTGGGAAAAACTTGGCAGTTGACCCATTACCTCTTTATAGTGGATGGATTCCTCAGACTCGTCAGTGAAGTCTGACGCTGTCTGACGCTTGACGCTGTTCCTGGGGCACAGAGGATTGGAGCTGGTATTTCCTTCAGTAGAACGTGTCGTTGATTCCATTTGTTCATCAGCTTTTTTGATATCCTTAAATGAAGAATATACAGGCTGTCATTATAATAATGCCGTAAAAATTCAAAGAAACTTTATTAAGCATCCATTTAAAACTGTTGTTGCCTTGCTATTAAAAATGGCACATTCTTGTGCAGTTCTTGCTGAATGGTTTTCAGGCTTGGCAAAGAGCTAGTAAGTCTAGCTCATACTAATGTGCTAGTGACTGACAATAGCTTATTGAGCCTTCTTTTTCAAAGACCTGTATAGGTAACTGGGGAAAATAATGTCTTAATCCCAAACAATTATACCACTAGCAAGGATAGCTCTTAGTCAAAGGAGATTTTTGAGACAGATGATACTCTTTTGATGCCTTTTTCCTAGCCTTTCCTGGAGCTTATAAATCTATGACATATAGCTAGGTACTCATATGTGAGGCTAGTCATGGGCCCAAGAGAGATCTCAGGAGACAATAACGTTTTCCGGCCTGTCACTGCTGCCCATCCCAAACTGTGACCGAAAAACAAAATCACTTTCTAGGGATACCGATTCATTGACAAGCTTAACAACTGTTAATCGTTTAAAGGTACAATGAACTTTAACCATCTTTGGACTGTCCCGACATCTTTAATCAAACATTCCTTTATGCTATCACTTTCTTTTTTTTTTTTTCCTACAAATTTCTCTACCACAAAAGAAATCTTTTATTTGGCACTTTTTTTTTCCAGGAGTTATTTACTTTGTGACAAGTTTAAGATAAAACTTTCATCTTTTCTCATAATAAAATTTTTTAAGAAGATGCTTTAAGAGTTCAAAGTTAATTCCTTTTCCTGAGATGGCTGCAAGACAAAATAATGATGACCGTAAGTTTTGGTATGTATAAATATATCTTTACCTATTTTTATTTTATTTTCACATAGGAACTCACTGAAGGAATATGTCTGTATACAATCATGTGCAATGTAGATAAGTAATTATAATATTAACCTCCATACTTTGAACTTTTCTGAAAAGTTTGATTAGACAATGCTAATGCTAATAATAATAATAATAAAATTTATTATACCAACAATAATTCTAAGCATTTTATATGAATTAGCTCATTTAATACTCATAATAATTCATTAATAGGTTGCTATTATTTTCCTCATGTTAGAGATTAGAAAAGTGAGGCACTGAGAATTTGAATAACTTGCCCAAAGTCCTAAAACTATTAAGTGGAAGAGTCAACTTGCAGTGACTCCAGAGCTCATAACCTTAACCACTTTGCTATGCTATTTCTCAGGATTCTTCTAGCAGCATTAACATTCGAATACTTGTGATCATCATGCATTCTTTTATTGATATATTGATTCATTTAGATGCCACAGGCAATAGTGGCAAGTAACTATGTCCAGAGTTTCAAAAATGAGTTACTTGTTTATGTAGACATCATGTATGTTATGTTTACTGTCTAACACACAGCATATTATGGCTATTCATTGAGTATTAATATTTACATTGTGTTGTTATATACAAACAGACATAATTTTAGGTAATCAGAGAATACTAATCCATTTTGAATAAGGTGTTTAAAATTTTTATATATTTATACCACAAACATACCAGTTTTGTTTTTACTACATAATGAAACCCTTTAAGTGTTGTAAATTTAAAAAATCTCAAAATAGGGTTAATTCAACTATGGTTATTTCTTTTTATTCTTACTCATTTTAGTTTGAAAATATTGAACTTAATAACTTCATAAATTATTTAATTTATTATGGATTGAAAATCATGCAGATTTAATTGTCAAATAACACCTCACCTTTATTTTTAAAGAAAACACAAAATATGAACTAATATAAAAAAAGTGAGAATCAGGCAGTCTTTGAATCAATATATAATTAAATTTTCAAACTTTTTTAAAACAATCATTGCTTCATAGAGGGTGTTTAGGAATATCTCATTCTAGCACAGTGGAGAAAGCTAGGGTTTGAGATTTGAAGTTATAAATTTGATGAGAAGATGGAGGCTCATAACTTTCTACATTTCCCAATTTGTAAATTACTAGTATTGACATGAAAGATAGAAAGTTGAAGAAGTGAAATAAACAGAAAAGGGCTGAAATTAGTTCTCTGTGGAAGAGCCCTTGGAAAGAAGTCTGCATTCCAGGGCGAGGGAAGGAAGTTGGGCTACAATGAAGAGGAGAGCTGGAGCCCAGTTCCTAGCTGGGCTAGAGCCTCATTATATTAATGTGCCCTGATGAAAGAGTTATGTGAAATCCAGCAGGGAGGATCTCAGGGCACTCAGAAACACAGATTCTCGGGAAGGGGAATTTGCTGTGTGCCCCCAGCACTGTCAGACCCCCTCTCAATTGCTCAATATGAGCTTTCAGCTCCACCTGTGAGGATGTGGTGTGCACACAGCATGGGTTGATGTGTGTGTCCCTTCGTTCAGCAGATATTTATTGAGTGTCCACTGTGTGCCAGGCACTCTGTAATGTGCTTCCTGCATATTAAGTCTCAACCTTCTGCCTGGCTTCTGTGAACTTCCATGATCTGACCCTTATTATCTAACTCTTTTCCATTATTCCCCTAACACTCATCTTTACTTATGGAAGGCTGGTCTTTCAGTTTTAGTTGCCCACCAAATTCCTTTTTACCTCCATGCTGCTATCATCTACCTGGATTTCTCCTCCATGCCCACCTTCAATTCCAACCTTTTAACCTTAAAGCCCTCTTCCGTGAAACCTTCCATGGTTAATACAGCTCTCTCCCTCCCCGTCAATCTTGCTTCTTATTTGTATAACTTGTAACATCTGTATGCACAATTTTGCGTTTTGTCTCTATAGCTAAGTTTTAAATCTTTAAGTAGGGATTATGTGTTATATTTCTTGCGTTCTAACCAAAAGATCACTGTAGTTAGACTGTCCCGGATCTGCCATATGCAAGCGTGGAAGCCTATTCGTAGTATGCCTGGCAAATATTAGGAACACATATCCATTTGCTCTTTAATCTCCATCATATTATCTAGCACAATGCTGAGGATATGAATCACACTCAATTTCTTCACTGAGGAACAATAAATCTATCCTAGTTGCTTTGTGAAATTTAAGATTATAATTTGGGACTTCTGTTTTCTAGTGTGGTATGATCTCTGAAAAGTTTTTAAAAAACCCATGAATATAACATTATGTCATGTAAACATTACCTGTGACATTGCAAGTGAGTAATATAGACCTTGTTTTGCCATTAGTTCAGCATGTGTTCCTTTCTCTGCCACCATCCCATCCTTTATGGTCACAATCAGATCTGCACTTCTAATCGTGGAAAGTCGATGTGCTACCACAATTGTGGTCCGACCTTTGCTTGCCTAGAGAGCAATAGGTATAGAAAGTAAATATAAAATTGGTAGAAATAACAACCTCTGCAATATTCAAGAAAACTTCTTGTTGCAGCATTATTTTAAATATCAAAGAATCTCATCCTTGGATATAGAAATTTGGAAACTTTAATTGATAGGAAGACCAATAGAAACTAGAATAAAAAGAGAGTCAGAAAATTACTTAGATTCCAAATCAGTGGTTTTATAAACAGTATCTTAGAATTAGAAAGTAACCAAAAGACTATTTAATCTGAGCTACCTAATAGCTTTATGGCTCTTAGTAACTAAAAGTAACTAAGTAACTTAAACTCACTATCTCTCTCTCT